CCATTTATTCTCCCTTCCTACCACCCCATGATATTTTAAGAATCTTAATCTGTCTTTTATGGCAGTCTGCTGCACAATCTTTTTTGGAAGTTGACAGGGGTATACATTATAAATAGCTACATCTAGTCCAATTTTCCCCCAATATCCACAGGAGAAAAGGGGGGGGGGTTACCTTGGTCCAAGTCACACAGCAAGTTGGTGATAAAGCTAGGGCTCGGTGCCAGATTTTCCAACTTTTAGTCTCAGGCTTTCAGCTAGTTCTACAGCTAGATTGTAGCTTTCTGGAGGGCTGGAAACATTGTCTCCTTAGTTCAACTCAAACCACCGCCATTACCAGATACAGGTTGCCTGTACTCACACCCTTACCCTCCACGCTTCCCAAAGAGCCGGGAATGCGCCCCCTCCAGCTGCGCGCACACACGTGCGCGCCCTCTAGGCTGGCGCCCGGGGAGCACGCTGGGGGTTGCCCCGCCCCTTCCTCCCCTCCCTCGCTCGCGGGTAAACTCCGGGCATCCATCAGTCTGTTAATTGCACTAATTAGAGATCGCGGAGGTGTTAATTGGAAAACCCTGGTATTGTGCCTGTTTGGGGAAGAAAACGTCAATAAAAATTAATTGATGAGTTGGCAGGGCGGGCGATGCGGGTTCGTGGCGAGGCGCAGGGTGTCGTGGCAAATGTTAAGGCTCAGATTAAGCGATTTTTAATTAAAAAGCTACGGTAATTAATACTCTCTTACACCATATGGGCCCGCGGAAAAGGCACAAAGGTTTCTCCGCGGGTAGGGCCCCCCATCCTTTTTCCCCTCTTCCAGAGCACCCTGGCCTTTGGGTCCTCCCTTTGGTCCTAAGGTAAGTAGAGCTCGTCACTTCCGGCCAGGGAGAGACTAGGCGGACCCAGACGAGTTCCGAGGAGTCCCTTACCTGCGCGCCTGCCCGCTGGGGTTCTTAGAAGGGCCAGAAGCCGCTGGGGAAGTGGGAGCCCCCAGCGGCCCACAGACTCCCCCAGAGCGGAAGAGGCGGCTGCGGCTTTGACCCAGCTTCCTTCCTTCCCCTCTGAAGGCCGAGGTGTCTGCAGGAGCTTCGGGGCCTGGCCCAAGGCTCTGAGATGCCCTGGCTCCCGGAGGGGGGGTACCCTGAGAGACGGGAGACTAGGACCTGCCTATGAGCGGGACCAGAGCCCCAGACAGAAATCCTAGATCTCCTAAAATAACTCTCCGGCAGTTGCTCCCCCGCGGCCCCAAAACGTAGGAGAGGGATCTGGGAAGGCTGAGGTGGGGGGTGAGGGCCTGAATTTATTGACTAAAAGACCTTCTAACTTCCCACCCCAGTATGTGCTGTAAAAAAAAATAGAACTACCCAGTGACTTGGGCAAAGGGCAGTGATTTGCCGAAGGTCCCACAGCTGGCCCTCGAAACCAGGTGGTCTGACTCCCGGATCTTCCTCCTCCTCTGTGGGTGTTCAGCTGCTCTCTGCTGAGGAAATGGGTGACTGGGGGAGGAGCATATGGAGTGAGGCGGAGGGCAGAGTGAAAGGAGGGAGTTCTGCCCCGCCCACCAGTCCCTAAGCAGGGAGCTCAAGTCTCCATTGGATGGAGCCCTTTGGGGAAAGAGACCGCAGCTGTGACTCAAGTGGACCCTCATTGGCTTCTTCCACCCACTAGAACACTGGCTTCATATCCACATGTCGGACCAGGGACTCTTACTCCTTCCTGGAGCTTCCAAGTCAGAAGACACTTCTCAAGACCACCTCTGGATGTAGAGATGGGGAAGTTGAGGCCCAGAGAAGGAGGAAGGCAAAATATTCCCAGCTGGTTGTGTCTGAGCTGGGCTGCTTTCTCTTCTAGCCAGGGTCCAGGTTCTCATGGACACCGGCTTCCTCCGCTACACCCCACGCCCTAGCAGTGGCAGGGCACTGATATCAAGGCCCACATCCAGCACCCCACCCCACCCCACCCCAACCCTGGCTGGCTGGGCCCCAGGCCCCCAGAGGCTGCTTACCCACAGTGCAGGGAACACCCCAGTGCTGTTGCCAACACCCTGTGGAGAGGTGAGCAGGAAGCATGAGGCCACTGGTGTGCTCATTCTCAGAGGGCAGGTGTCCCAGGGCAGAGGTGAGGTGCAGAGACCCCCTGGGAACACCAGCCCTGCAGGTTTCAGTGGGTACCGGTGGGCCTGCAGGAGGAGCATGGAAGGAGGTGATGTTCCCAGGAGGGGGCAGAGTGTGCCGCTTGGGAATTAATGCCATTCGTACACCCTGCGGAAATGACTTTTCAAATGCATATAATCTCAAGCATGCAAATGAGAGGCTTGCTTCACCCTGTTTAATATGAATGATCAGCCCTTGAATAGCTATTATTACACGCCACATCGCGGCAATTATGTTGTTCAATGGGTGTCGCTATGTACCCCCCAATAAAAAAAAAACAGGAAAGAAAGGGACACCTCTGTTTGCGTCCTCCTTTTTCTTCCTTTTTTCCAAACTTGCTGTCTGATCTACAGTTTTATGCTCTGTGTGTGTGTGTGTGTTGGAAGTGGGGGGGGCCCTCATTTTTACCCCAGGAAAGTAACTGCTGGATTCTCCTTCCTTTCTCCTGTGCACACACACCCCTGAGGCTTTGGTCTTTGTCCCCAGGGGCCCAGGAGTTCTCAGATCTCAGAGAAGCTAGACTTGGAATCAGGGCAGGCAGCTGCTCTCCACCCCCAGCAGGGCCAGTGTGGGGGGAGAGGGAGAGCAGAGTGGGCTCCTGCTGTCTTCCCATCCCCCTCATGTAGCTGGGGCCCAGGCTGGAGTGGGGGAAGGTGCTGTGTAAGCTGCTGGGAGGGATCAGGGTGGGTGGTTGGGGGAGGGGGGGCCGAAGCTGGGGCCGGAGCCCTGTGTTCTGGTGGGTGGAGGATGGCGCCCACCCCATCCATCATTTGGCAGCCACTGGCCCTCTGGCTGACATGGCCATTAAGGCTTGAGACTGAGCGCTCAATCTCTTCCAAACCGTCGCCCCCAACCTTACCCTCTCCCTCGCCCCGGGCCCAGCTCCTCAGAACCCAGGAGTAGGAATGGCATTTGGCTGGGGGGCCGGAGTGGGGCACAGGAAAAATGTACGCATGTAGGACATTCCAGCAGCACAGGTTCACAGAGGAAGCTGCACAGATCCACGGGGACAGAGAGACCTGGAGTCACAGAGGGAGAGGAGCCGTCAAGCAGTGATGTGGCCCACGTGTGAACTGGCGGGCTCCTTGTCTGTCCCATCCCCCAATGCTCTCACTTCAACTGGTGCTCCCGGCAGGGAGGAAACAGACCCAGGAGAGGGAGGGGAAAAGAGTTAGAGGTACAAGGAGAGAATTTGGAGGTAGGCGTGCTCTTGGGAGCTGCCACTCTGGGGAGGAACTAAGAACAATCTCTATCGGCACTTTCTCTAATCTGCTACTTGGAAGGCCTTCGGCTGCCTTTTGGGTCAAGGAGACCCCGTGGTTGTGGGGTCTGCTTAAAAGTAATCAGGAAGGGAGGGAAGAACACTGGCTGGTTTCCACAGCCCCAGGTAGCCGCTCGGTAGCTTCCATCCTTGATCTCTGTGTGAACTGGGCCACGTCTTTGACCTCTCTGAGTCTCAGGGTCTGTATTCTTACAAATAGGGCATGTGAAAAGGGGTTGATTGGAGCTTCCTCTGCTACGTGGTTTGTATGTGTTGTCTTATTTACTCCTTACAGGACTCCAGGAGGCTGGGATTTATTTACTTCCACAGACAAGGAAACTGGGTTTTAGGGAGTTTAAGACAAGTGTTGAAGATCAGTGGTGGTTACCAGCTGTGTCCTGTTTCACTGAAATCCTTGTGCCTGTCAAGGAACTTTGGGGGATAGTCAGAGACCTCCCAGACTTGGAGAGCAGCTCTGCGAGCTAAAGCCCGCCCCCCCAGCACACACTGTGTGCACAAGCCCCTGAAATAGTGGGACCTCCATAAGCTGTAGAAAGAAGCTCAGGCCTCCTCCTCCTCCCTACTATCCTTGACACTCCCAAATGTACCCTCTCTCTTCCTGGGGTTGTTTCGACTGCTTCTTGTGGGGCAGTTTGGGGTGGGAGGAGGAGGGTATAGGATTCAGGCCTTGACTCCTTTCCTCCATGAATTCCCAAACTCTGGGTCCTCAGCTTCCCCATCTGTCAAGGCAGGATGATGGTAACTCTCACAGTTCCTGTGATGAGGAATTTTCGTCCCTGTAGAGACAAAACAGGACTGAGTGTCTGCTTTGGGCCAGAGCCCAGCCTGCAGCCTGAGAATGGACGGTCAGAGAAGGGGGAGCACAGCTGCCGTCACTCCACAGCTCGGCCATGCTGAGTCTGGCTCCCAGGAGCTGCTGGGCCAGTGGCAGCCATTCTTGCTGTGGGACAAATACTGATTGGGGCGTCTGTGCCTTGGGAAAAGAGCCTCCATAAGGACTCTCCTGCCCTGGGGGAACTCCCCACCTATGAGAACAAACACAAAGGCCATTACAGGTGTTCTACCAACTGGTGAGGGGGTGGGGAGAGGAGGCCACAGCTATGTAGTGACTCCCACTGAACAGATCATCTGCTTTTAAGTCCTGCAGCACCCCCCCCCCCCGCCCCTCTCTTCCCCAGGGCTCTCAAGCCCTGGCCTGGGTGGAGAGGCCCAAACAGGTTTTGGGGAGGGGGAGCATAGGAATTGCTTCCCCCCTTGCTCTGCAGAGGTCTTCTGGAAGTCCAGTCAAGGAAAAGTCCAGGGTGGGGGTGTACCTTCAGTCTGGAGCTGCCTCTTACTGGGGCCTGGGGGAGCATGACACTGGGAGAGGCTGCACCCCAAGAAGAGTCCCAGAAGTAGCCCCCAGGAAGTTGAAGAGGAGGAGGGCATGCCCCAGGACCAGGGTGGGGACGTTAGGTGGTGGTGTTGGGGGCGGGGGTTGTTGAGGGGCATCAGTTGCTACCCTGGGTAGAACCAGCCCTGCCCGTTTATTTTGGAGCCTCAGCCCCTCCCCCCCGTCTCTCCTCCCCCTCCAGGTCCCGCTAGAGCGACATGATGGTGGAATCCGCCTCGGAGACAATCAGGTCAGCTCCGTCTGGTCAGAACGGTGTGGGCAGCCTCTCGGGGCAGGCCGATGGCAGTGGCAGCGGCAGCGGGGCCGGGGCTGCGGGCACTGCTGGAGGCGGTGCGGGCAGGGACGCGGCAGCAGGAGCAGACAGCAACGGCGAGATGAGCCCCGCGGATCTGCTGCACTTCCAGCAGCAACAGGTAGGAGCGGGCGCCCCACTTTGGGGGAGGGGCACACCGGGCCACTTCTCACTCCATTCTGGCCACCTGGAGCCCCTGCTCAGGGCGAAGCAGCTTCACTTGAACAGTCTGGAGAAGGTCCAGCCTCCAGGGACTTCCTCTGAGCCCTCCCATTCTGGTGGCCCCCTTAACACAGGGTTAGAGCTGCACTTTCAAGAGAAAGAAGTGGGACTCGGGGGCCTGAGATCATGGAGCTTAGAACAGTCTCAGAAATTGCCCACCAGCACAGACAGACTGGGGAAGCAGTCCTGAGGGTGTGCATGTTGAATGGGCAGGCACCGGGGCTCCCCTGCGTACTGGCCAAGTTAATGAGGGTGGGGAAGGGTCCTCATTTTAGAAGTATGTTAACCGGGGGAAGGGGGTGAGCTGCGCACATGGTGGGTATCTCCACTTTATTTGTATTGTAAAACATCCCCATCCCCAACCCCATCTCTGCCTGGGCTCCCGACCCAAGCTGTGCAGAGATTAAACTTCCAGCCACTAGAGGCCAAAGCAGCTGGGGAAAGGCCAAGAATCAGAGGCAAACCCAGGCCTCCATTTTTAGGGCTCAGACTGGGAACCCCTGTCTGCATCCACTTTCTCTCTTCCCCTCCACCGTTCCCACCCTGAACTGCAGAGTTCAGGAGTTCAAAACCAGCTTTTTTGCAGATCAAGAGGCCCTAGGGTGGGGAGCCTGGTTGGGCGATGACAGAACAGGGGCCCCAGGTCCCAGCCCCACCCGGGAGACAGGGAGAATCGTGCTTGACGAGTTCAGGAGAACCGGCCCAGCCAGCCTGGCTTTGAGCGTCTGCTTCTTTTATTTGACTCCCTGCTGGTGGAATCACTGCTGGTAGCACTGGCCCTTGGGGGCTCTGTCAGAAATGAGGAAAGCCCAGGTCCTGCCCACCCCTGCCTTGTGTGCAGAGAGATGTGTGTACTTAGCCCTCACGTTGTCTCCCAGGGTCACTCTGGGGCTCCTCCCCTACGCCATAGCCCCTGAGGGGCCCTTTCCCACCACATTCCTTGGAGCCTGAGGTCAGACTGCAAGCAGCATGGTCGGAAGCTGGGCACCCTGCACTGAGCTGGCCAGCCAGCAGTCACACAGGAATGGAACAGCCCTGAGCTGGGTTCTAGCCTGCCCCTTAGAGTGACCTTGGCCGGCCACTGGGCCTCCCTGAGCCTTGCCCTTCTTGTTGCCTCGAGTACAGGGTTGTTAGGATCAGGTGCAGTTTGGGTGTGAAACCTGTATACACATGGGCTGTGGATATGAACAGAGCTAAGAGCTTTAAAAATCACTTCCTCTTACAATCAGCGAAGCTTGAGTGGAAAGGGCCCATCTCTCTTCCTTAAGGAGATGGTCCTCGGGAGTTTTCTGGCATCTCTCAAGCCTTCCTGAGCAGGATCTCTGGGGGAGAGACGCACAGCATCTGTGCCATCTACTGGGGACAGAAGGTCAAAGGGCAAAATTCTACCTCTTATCAAAATAATAACAAACCACACCCTGCCAGAAGGCTCCAAGGCCACCCCTTTTGTATGGCCAGCTTCCCCTCCCACACTTCTGTGCAGACAGAGCAGTGAAACGTTTCGAGTCGGGGGTGGGCAGGAAAAATACTGAAACTGGGAATGTCTTAAAAGTTCAAGTGAAGAGCGAGCCGATATCTGGGTGACTGGGGAGATTTGTGGGGGGGGGGGTGCGGAACTGTCTGTACCGATCGGGTTTCTCCATTCTGCGCTGCACACATGCCATGTTTTACCATCTATTCCACGTTCCAGTTACTCCTGTTTGTTTTGGGGAATATCCCAAAGTCCTGGAAAATCCTGTATCTGTTTCACAAATAAACTGGGGTGGAGATGTGGAGGCAGGCAGAGGGCTGTTTTATCCATTCGGGCTCACTATGGGCGTAGTGCCCGGGGCCAAGGAAAATATTTGAGACTTAAAAAAAGGTTTTGTTGGCTCCAAACTGTGAAAAGAGCCCTGCGAAATTAAAAATACAAAATTTTCAATTAAAATGAAATGAGTCTGGAGGCCATCCTTCCACCCCCCAATATACAAGTGAGGTTTTGGGGAGGCTTCAGGGGCAACACTTCCTGCCCCTCTCTGCCCCCCAACGAATGTTGCGGGCTGTTTGCTGACATGACCATAGGAAACACAGCCTGGTCTGATGGGTCCCTTCTCCCCTCAACCCCAGCCAGGAAGGCCTCCAAGGACAAACAGACAAGCATCTTGTGCCCGTGGATGCTTTGGGTCTTTCACATACGTTGCGTCACTTAACTGTCTAGGAGTTTGATTGCTCCCATTTCACAGATGAGGGGGTATCGGGGGTGGCTCTGACTTGTCCAGGTGTCATGGCAAAGGCTGCAGCTAGACCTCAGATCCTGGTTCAGGGTTCAGCACGGCCTCCTTTCTGCTCCTGCCACTCACACAGTCCCCTTTAGGAAACGGAGGGAGCAGGGCCTGCAACATAGTAGGTGCTAAATAAATGTCTGTTGATGCGTAAATGAGAGCACGCCATTCCCAACCTAAAAGGGCTCTGAAGACAGACAAACAGCAGCAACACTGTCGCCCAACACTGTCAACTGCCCTGAGTAGCCACTCCAGAGGAAGGAGGTTGGGGGCGGGGTCTGTGGCGGCACACGGGGCCCTCCCCCTCTGTCCTTCTGTCTTTTGGTCCCTGTCCCTCTGCTTTGGGTAAACAAGCCCTGGAAATGCAAGCTTGGCCTGTGGGAGTAATGAGTTGACAGAGGAGAGAGAGATAAACAGGGCGAGTCAGAAGTCAGACTGGTGACAGGACTTCAGGCCGAAACAAACAGTGCTGAAGAGGGCAGCCACGTCACTTTGGAGCAGGAGCAGGCGCCGTTTCCATGCAACAGCAGGCTGGAGCTTGTTTAAACAGAGGCTGGGGCGGGGTTGGGGGGCACGCGCTCGGCTGCCAGGCCCCTCTGGTGGAGAAAGGGTCCCTAGCTGGCTGCCCTGTTGGGGTAATCAACGCCCCAGCTTCCTGCTGCCCCCTCCCAACACCCTTGTTGGGGCTGGGTTGTGAGAGGACGGGCAGGAGGGAGGGCCTCAGCCCCCCCTTTTTGTAACCCCCCTGGTTTACTCTGCCTCCCAGCCACGCCACGTCCACTCTCCCTGGTCTTTCACGTAGTCTCAAGTCTCACCCTCTCACGGAGAATACCCCGCAAAAAACAGGTGGGGAATTTGGTAGGCCTTGGTGCAGGGGTTCATCAGCAGACACACATCGAAGCTTAGTCTTTGCCAGGGACCATGCTGGCCAGCCGGAGTTGGGGATTCTCCGGCTGCTGTTAAAAAGAGCACCCCCAAGCCCCGCAGTCACACCAGCTGGCCAGCAGTCCCCATCCTCACCAGTGCAAAGCCCTTCCTCCTTGCCTTCCCCTCATAGTTCCCCCCGATGGCTTTTTTTCTTTGAAGGTTGCCCTTGCCTTTTATTTTAATCTGATTTCATCTGTATGAAAATGTCCCCAGTGTTTGGAGGTTTCCTCAGGGATTGCACAAGTACCCACTGGGCTCTCTGTTAGGGGGCAGTGAGAGCTGGGAGAAGTGTGTGCCGGCTTCGGGGAGGTGCAGGGCCTGTGGAGGTCTTGAGGGCCAGACTGGGTGCTCTGGCCACGGAGAGCTGGACTTGGGGCTCGGAGGGCTCAGCGGGCCCAGTGGGGACGGCAGAGCCACTGGCTGGCGGGGCTGCTGCACTGAAAGGCGTCCTGGGCCTCCAGAGCTGCACTCCTATTGTCCTCAGGTTGTGCGGGTGACAGGTCATCGAGGGTCACAGGGGGGTTGCCTAGCCTCTGGGAACTCCCACTGCAGTTGCTGTGGCAACTGGGGCCAAATCCCACCCTGTGCACATCCTGTGAGGAGATTCAAAAGGGTTGGGGTGGGGGGCAAGGAGGGGCATCTGCACTTCCCCCCCTCCAAAGAGATGGGGGTGGTTTAGGGAACTGGGTGAGGGGGGGAAGAAGAATGGATTTTTGTTTTCCTCCTCCATCTGGCTCTCTTCTGCCCAAGCTATTTAGGGGGATGGGGCGGAAGGGGAGGCTTCAGGGGCGAATTAGCACCCCCCCACCTCACACACACAGTCTACAGTTACCTTTAGTTTTAGGTCTGGGGCCCGTGTTTCAGTCTGTGGGACTCCCTCCCTTGTGCCCCAGATTCTGCTCTTCCACATGTAGTCCTACACCTTCTGTCCTTTTCTTTCCCTCCCACGGAATGTGCCCCTTCCCCAGGAGGTGCTGGGGGCCTGGTGGGAACGTGGGGCCAGGCCCCCCAGAGGGGAGACTTGGCAGTGCAGCCCCCCCTGCAGCTGCAGGGGTGGGGGCCGAGAAAGGTTCCTGCCTGCCTGGCCTGGGGATGGAGGCCAGGTGAGTGGGGGTGCTGAGTTGTGAGAGGACCAGTAGGAGGGAGGGCCTTAGCCCCCTTTTTGTCCCCGCCCTGGTTTACTCTCTCTCAGTCCAAGGAAAAGGGGAGTTTCCCCAGGAGGGAGCTCTAGGAAGAAGGCAGGGGGAGGTTGAAGAGAGAGCCCAAGGCTGGGGAAGGGGTTCCCAGGCCTCTGCTTTTTGGGGACCAGAGAGTAATCAGCCCACTCTACCACCCTTTTGATATGGAATTTTAAGACCTCTGAGTTTCCTCTCCTCCCTAAGCCCCCTTTTATGCCAGAGATGTTGTCCTTCCTGATCAGGAGTCTGAAGACTGGGGAAAGGGAGGGTTGAATGTTTCCTTTTCTGAGGAAGAGGGATTGAAGTGGGGAGGGCCGCACCCCAGGGCCCCGCGGTCCCAGGGTGAGTTAGTGTGTCTCCTAGGGGAGCACCTTTATTCTGAGAAGGGAATCGCCTGGCCCAGCAACCCCCACTCTAAATCCTACCTCTGCAGAAGCGGCCAGTGTAAGGGTAGTGGCTGGGCTCATGGTGGCAGTGGCTGGGCTCACAGTGGCGCTGCACCCAGATCTCAAGACCCACTTCCTGTGAGCCCA